TCTGAATTTCGTTTTATTTTAATTTGGTCGTAAATTAAATTATGTTCCGGGATCCCGGGATCCTGAGGGCTTTATCCCGTGATTTCGGGACTGACAAAAGGGCTCGGGACTCCTTGGATCCTGAATCCCGGTACTAGCAGCCTTAACACTCACACACAAAATTACCCAGCAAAAACACGATTACCACAGAAATTAAAATGGAATCGAATTAGGCGATGGGAATCGCTTACCCCTTCGCTTCAAGAAGGCATTATTTTAACATGAGCATGTCATTGCCCGTAAGCCCGTAAATGCAGCATTACCTTCGAACGAAGGGAGAACGCATAGATAAACAAAATCCAGAGAAGCGAACAAAGAATGCCTTACAGAGAAACTAATGTAGAACGCCTAGATAAGGACATACTTATGTACATATATTAATTGAAAAAAGAAAATACAGATTGTCTAAAAAGATTCAAATTAATACAAAATTTTATAAATCAGTTTTTATACAGTCTGTATGTATTAGGTATATAGATCTTACTTAAAAATCGGTATGTACACACATTCATACATATTTAATTAAACTTAAAATTGTACTTCCTCACTCATGTACTTCACTTCATTGACTGACTTCAACTTCGCGTAAATTAAACAAAGCAAAACATGATTTTTATGCGATGGAATTTCCCACAGAAAGTAACGGTAGAAAAGAATTTGTCGGTATTCATTCTAGTTTTCAGCTGACCGTAATGCATCAAAGCAGCGAAATTATTAAAATATGCATTGTAGAACATTCTGCTATGCATTACCGGCAATGCCTAAAATAAGCGAAACAATAAGAAGACATTATAAGGCAATGCGTTCTAGAACACATTACCACTAAAAGCGATTACCGATTTCTTTCTGGGTATCTGAGAAACAGCTGGCGCTACAGCTTTATGAAACTTAACCGTTGGGGCATGTGAAACCTGTTGAAATAAATTTCTGGTATTTCCCTTACCAAAGAAGCAGATTTCATTATACTAGTGCCTGAAACTATTCTACTACGCCGGCAGATATAAAGAACTTGGAGCACTTTTTACCTTCTTTGGAAAGTTACGTTATTTTAGCTATAACTTTTATTGTGTTTGGCCCACTTTGATATCAAGACCCTTAGACCATTTAGACAATCAATTTATATTTTAAATTGCATCGCCATCGGGATTGCAAATATGCTGCAAGTTTCAAGCCCTAGCTTGTCGGGAAGTTAAGTTTAAAATCTATAGGACATTTCCGCGGGAAGTACAAGTTAAATAAAAGCATTAAAAAAAGATCTTGTAATAATAATAAAGAAACAGCTCGTAAAAATTATCAAAGCACTTGATACACATACTTGCCAAAACTTCTAAATTGCGATTATTTTGTTTAGCAATCAATTATTGTGCTACCAATTTGATTGCAATCACACTTGATTGCTTTTGTTCTGACTGTAAAAATTACAATTTACAATATTTGCGAAGGCTTACAATCAATTTGATTGTACTCACTTTAGTTTGCAATCAATTCGATTGCAAGCAATTGATTTAAGATTTGTTGTATTTGTAGCAAAATAATACAAATCAAATTGATAGCAAATTGTAATTTTTGCAATCAAAATCATTGTTATCAAAACCGGTTGCAATATAAAGTATATTTTACGATTGCAAACCAATTTTATTTAAATTTTGTACAGCTCTGATACTTGTGCATATGTACATACATCTATACAGGGTGTCCCAGAAGTAACGTGCCAAACTTTAGGGCAAGGTAGGTGGGGGCGGTGAGCTCACTGATAAACAAAAAATTTTCAGGTAAAAGTGTCACCGTTTTTGAAATATTTACATTTTTTCGAATTTAAAGAAAAACGTGCCTTTTCATGTGTTTTCTTTAACCCTTCGATTTGTGAGAAGGTCCCTAGGGACCTTTTCGTATTTCATGTGCCTATATCTTTTTGTTCAATGCATTTTTGAAAAGAATTTATACATGTATTCCAAGAATAAATTAAGCTGAATCGTTTAAAATAAGTTTCGAAGGGATACGGGATCACGTTCGAGTGTTATTGAGATTTCAACATATATAGTACGGGGATTAGTGACAAGGTCCCTAGGGACCTTGTACAATTTTAGAAGAAATAACAAGTTACTTGCATTTTTGAAAAGAATTTATACATGTATTCCAAGAATAAATTAAGCTGAATCGTTTAAAATAAGTTTCGAAGGGATACGGGATCACGTTCGAGTGTTATTGAGATTTTAACATATATAGTACGGGGATTAGTGACAAGGTCCCTAGGGACCTTGTACAATTTTAGAAGAAATAACAAGTTACTTGTCTTCATGTTTTGATTTTTTTTTCACTTGTTCCTCAAATTATTTCATTCCTAATATATATGCAGGACGTTAATTTAATCAAAAGACAACATAAATACCAAAGAAGTTGCACATGTACAGTCGAAACATCGAGCAACTCTTTGTAGGTCCCTAAGGACCTTCTCACGAATCTAACGTCATCGGCACTGTCACTCATCGGAGGGTTAACTGCAACTACAAACCGGGCAATACTTAGTAAATTTTTTATGTAAAATACTTCCAGATAGTTGCCTCTCCATACTCAAATGCAATGTAGTTAAAATAAATTAAGGAACCATCATAAAATTAGGACTATTTCTGGATTTTTAACTTTTTGATATTTTCTTCCCCAACTTTGACTATCTCGGGTGAAAAAAAAATGTACTGAGCTATAACTTTACATTACATAAAAAAATTGCTCATTTAATAAAGATTTCAGAAAGGTGCCACACTTACTGTTTTGAATAGAAAAAAAAAAGTTATAGCCGCTTTTGTGGGTAAAGGACTGAGACACGCTAGAATGTATTTAATAGATTTAAATTGAATTTGCTCTTGTTACCGTCAAATGACATGCTAAATAGTACAAAGGTACAT